ATTTCTAATAATATTGGCCGATTTTTTAAAGGAAATTTGTAATGGATAAAAGAATCCTCTGTACGTCGTGTTTGACAAAGATCTGCGATTGTTAAAAACAGAAGTTCCCAAACTTTGTCTCATACATAATACTTCGTCACATTTGTCATTTAAGAAATAGACCATCTGCTTAATATGTAACTCATTAATGCCGCTGTTGTTTTTATTAATCGATAGTTATAATAATAATTCACTTTATTGCACTCAACAGCTTACAGGAAAATTAATACCATAAGAAAAAATATAGAAAACATAACGGCCTTATTGTTAGGAGCAATCTTTTCCAATGCAGATAAATAGCCGTTAATAACGAAAAAAACTTATTTTTAAACACTCGCTTAAAATGATACCAGGGGTTAATTTTCTAACTTTCAAATATTATCGCAGTCCCTTTCTATTTGATCATTTGAAAGATGTTCACGAACTTCCCTCTATAACTATTTGAATTAATAGATGATATTGAATGAACAATAACGTTGATTTGACCCCAATTGGAATTGTCTAATTCAAATGATCGACGCTAAAATCTTAGAAAACTATTAAAAATTGCCAAACGAAAGAGTTAAATGCTAACTGCAATATGGCGGCGGGCTTAACTGTTATCATTGTTTTTCTGTATCATTGAAAATTCGTTACGAATCGACTTTAAACGGTACATAATTCCACCAGTCACTTTGAACGGGATTGCAATAGATTTTGAAATAAGACAATTAGCTCACGGCTTGGTGTCTATATCCATGATAATACAAATTTATTAGCATTTATGCTACACCGTAATTTCTATTTTCATACAAGTCGAATTAAAATATTTTTTTTTTTTCATTCATTTTGGTATCAAACAGTCATTTACATCACAAAGTGTGTATGATTAAATGTGCTTTAAATTACAGACCAATAGTACCTAAAAGTTAAATTTTTTGAATTAAATAAACAAGAGAATCTACATGATAAGACACGCATACATATAAAACAAAAACATTCGGCAAAAGAATGACTTTGTATAATTATATACTTACATTGCTCTTAAGCAAACTATCTAATTACATAATATATCTTTTAACTTTGTCTTCAATACAGAAATTGACAAATTAAAGAGATCAAGCTCGGAGAATTCTTTATTATAAATGTTGGTGGAACGATAAAAGTAAGTTTCGTGTATAATTTTTATGCAATTTTGGAGGAACAAAGAATGATAATATATCTTCCATTACAACATTAAAACGTACGTTGACCTCTATGGGGTCCTCATACACACTTTGGGTGTCAGTGGCTTACAATATAAATTCAGTAGGTGTATATATTCGCATAGGTAAGCGAGCATGTCACAGTAAGCCCTGCCCTGAGCTGCGAGTTATTGCAGAATTAAGTGTACACGTGACACGGGTTTTATTTTAAATTGGCTGCCTTTACCCACTTCCCGTCCCAAATATATTCTGTGTACCTTATTATCCTAGTTTAGTAACAACACTATTCAATAGATGGCGTTGCATTTTTTTTAGTAAGAGACTTTTTGTTTGGTTCCTTTTTAATTTCACGTGATTCCAATTTTCGGTACTAGACGGCGTTCGTTTAAATTTTTTTCTATCGTTCCAGTAGTTCAGGAATCTATTCAATGAAAACAAATAAACGAAGGATCTATTATAATATTAGGATAGATGTACCTATTTATACTTAATCTCCATTTGTGTTACCCACAAAGTGTGTGTCTCTTATTCTGCCATAATCGAGACAATCTCATCAAAACATATTTAGATTTTAAAAAAATATCCAAATTATACAGTTAGTTACTCATATTTTCCATATATAAATAACGCATGGCACAGAGAATGGTCTATTTTTTATTTCAATTTGCACGTAATAAAATCTTTTAGTCCCCAAACGACTCGTAATTGTATTACTGGAGATTAAAGCTCAAACCAATGGCAGTATCCTGCCTGTTTTGGGTAACCGGCTATACTTGACTGTCAAACTTCACCAATCGATTTTAGGCCTTAACATCTTGAAAAGTAAGTTCAAAATAGTATAAAAATAGATCGTGTAAAAAGTACTGTCGAGTACAATCATTGACAACATTTTTTTAAATTTATTTTTTGTATTATACATTATTGAAGGGTTTGTAATTAATAATAAGTGGAGTGAATATTAAAAGTAAAATCGTGAGAGTTATTTTCGCATATAAAACATTATTAGCTATTAACCAAAAGTTCGATAGCAAATTGGGTTGCGCTTGTGCAATTTTCACGGGATGGGTGATCAAAAAAATATTATCTGGAACTCCTCTGTGCTTCGGAAGGCACATTATTTAATATATAGCGATGAAAATTTGTAATTGAGTAATTTATAACTAAAAAATGCATTTTTTTTAAATATATTCAAGTACAAGGATTTTATTTATGAAAGCAAAAGAATTTTTATATATTTTGAACTATACAACATGGCGTTGAAATCGCGGTAGGTATCTTGTTTTTCAAGGACATCATCCTGAAATTAAAATGTTGTAAAAACTTTTAACTTTATAATAAGTACTAGATGACATTACGTATAGGTATACTAAATCGCGCTATTGTTTGTATTAAAGAATTTCGCGTTTGTTTGTTTTTCATTTTAGTTTGTTCTTCATTAGTATTTCAAATTGTAACTTAATCCATATTAATCAGGGTTTACTAATAAATATCAACGAATATATATATATCGATTGATATTTACATCGATATATATAAATCGATATTTATTGTTAGTTTGGGTATTGAGTATTTAGTCTCAGCTAGAAAATTAACTAACCCGATGTGACGCTAGTAACATGGACTTGAAGTAGCAATACTTATTAGATATATCGAATTTTCCCCTAAAACTTACTGGAAATCCTCTCTCGCATGCTACTTTTTAATTATTTCATATAAAATAAACAAATATTAAATAACTCTAACTCAATTTTTATTTTACACTTTTGATTTAAAAGAACAAATATTAAATAAAGCCGTTGGCAGCTCAAAAATCACAGCTCTTCATATGCTTGATATATATCTAATAGATATCAGATATTTTGATATTTGTTTTAAATATGGGATTTTTGCAAACTCTGATACTAATATTAAAAATGCAAAAGTTACTATGTCTGTATGTTACGTTTAAAAACCTATCTGCGATTGATAATATCTTAATGTAGATTGAAAAATTTGGTAACTATGTCATAAATAACCTTATAAAAGGATTCGCCTATAAAAACTAATTTTATTATTGTTTTTTTATTTCTAAATAAATTATTATTTCTTTATATTATTATTTTAGATGTCCAATACTGAGTTCGAGAAACAGGTGCCTATAACCGTTGCCATTATGTAAGACGTATTATGCAAGAAATAGTTTTTTGGTTTGTGCTTGTCGTATTAGATATTTGGATTTCGATTTATTCAACATGTCTGTTAATATGTATTAAAAGTCTATTAAGCGAATTAAATTACAAATTGTAATGTATTTCAGTTATCATTACTGTGGGCTATTGATTTTTTTTCTCTTTTTAAATTCTTAATGTAGAAACTTTATTGTGGTATTTTTTTGTAACAAACTATTGGTAAGATTATATGCTGTATGTTTCTCATAGCGTAATATTAATACTTTTTTCAAATTGGTTTAAATTCCAGCTAAGGGGCGCTACAGGAATCTCGCCAAAGGCACCAGAAGTGTTATAACCGGCCCTTCCTACCGATGCATAGGGCATCCATGCTTAGGGGAGGCCTGAGATCCAACAGTCGGAACCTTAATATATTTGTGAAGAAGATGTGAATGATTTACTAAAACGTTTTGTTTCCAATTTCCCATAAATCTTTGATTTATGGAGTGGGCGGCATATTTAAGATGCAACAGCGTTTTTGAATTTAAAAATATGCCTTTGGTCGTAAGTAAGTCATAAAAGTATTATGAGCTTTTGTCCTTGATTGTACCCTCGCCCTATAACACAATGAGAATGCGAGGGTGGCTCCCCTTATTTTTGTTTATAATGATGTCAACACTAAAGGAAGGAAACTTCAAAATGGCACATTTCACACCGTAGACTTATTTTCAGTCTACGTTTCACACAAACTGAATCGAGCAGAGCAAATCTTAAAACGTCGAGACGTCGATTGTCACTGTTTGTTTGGAAAAGGTATACCAACAGTATTTATATGATACACTAGCTTTTGCCTGCGACTTCGCCCGCGTGGTTTAGTTTAAAATCTAGATATGAGAAAATTCCATAAACAATTTTATCCCCTTATTTACCCCTTAGGGATACAATTTCGTAAAATCCCGTCTCAGTGAGCACCTACGTCCTAAAAAGAACCTGCATGCAAAATATGAAACTCCTAGCACTTGTTGTAACGAAGCTTCTTACAAAATTTCATCTCCTAATGTAGCCCCTTTGGGGTGGAATTTTCAAAAATCCTCTCTTAGTGCTCCTCTACACTCCCTAAGGAATCTTCATTCCAACTTTCAACTTTCTATGCTCAGTAGTTCCAGCTGTAAGTTGTCAGTCAGTAACGCAAGAATTGTATGTATATAGATTGAAAATTATTATTATTTATTAAATTTAATTATTAATTTAAATATATATATATACCGATTACCGGCATACACAACATTTACTAAAGGAACAATAACGTGATTACAATATTAATTAATGAAGAATTTATAATTACAATAAATTTTAATTTTTGTACATCTTCTTCAACACACTGATTGGAGAATATTGCTCTTAAGGTAACGAGTCATGAACATTAGTCATTTTCGTTCGTCTAGAAGTAAAATAATAATAAAAAAACTGAAAATAATGATTTAATAAAATATATGAATTTTTATAACTATTAATCTTTAAAAATTTAAGCGACTTTGAAAGGCCAGTTATGACAAATTTATAGAATTTTGGTCTCCCATTCTATGGAATGGGAGACCAAAAATTCTATAAATTTGTCATATTGGTAATGATAAATACACAACAGTCCTTTAAAAAAATTTATTGATAAATTACCTTAAGAATTAACAAGTTAAAAAAACTTTATATTAAATACACCCAACAAATAATATATTAACAATTTTCATCCACCGTGTAACGTAGATATAAACATAATTGTATCGCCATTATGTATTTTGTAATCTAATTCTCCGTATAATTCCCAGTCGGAGTCGTTGATCAAAACTAATATGCCTGGCCTCACAGAATCCCCCTGCAAAAAAAATAAGCGCCTTAGAGAAATTGAGATATTATACATAGTATATAACACAGTTTTTTTAACTAGGAATTCAAAAAGAAGGTTTATATGTCGCTTCCTACTGTCTGTATGATGAGAGCTTTTGAACTACACAACATATTTAATGCAGTTTCTGTCAATATACAAAGTGATTCAAGAAGGTTTATATCTAAATATATATAACTCAAAGGTGACTGACTGACAAAGTGATCTATCAACTTACAGCCTAAACCACGGGACAGAATGGACGGAAATTTGGCAGGCAGGTAGATGTTATGACATAGGCAACCGCTAAGAAAGAATTTTGATCAATTCTATCCCCAAGGGGATACAATAGAGGATGATAGTTTGCATGAAACTTTATTTCAGGTATTTTACACAATATAATGAATAAATATTCGTTAGAACTGCTGCTCAAAGTAACTTTACAAGGCAAGGGCTAGTGTATAATAAAGGACCATGCTGGTGAATCTGAAAGCTGGAAGCCTATAAAATATAATAGTTCATTTAATACATTTTTAGAGTTCTAAAGCCAAGTGCCATAGCAGTTTATGTGCAAAAAAATGCAAGGAGCCTAACTTTTGCATGTTTATATTTTTTTTATTTACTTATATAATCATTATTTTATTATTATATTGAAAATATGGATATAGACCAATAATTATAAGACACAATTACAACTATTTTAAATTGCTGCAGATCTCATCTCTAAACAGAGTAAATAAATAAATATAAATATATATTGTACTACATCACATAAATTGCTCAGATTCCAAGATTACTAACTAAAGTCCTCGTATTGTGGAGTAACTGATACAACATGACACCCAGATATTATATAGAAAATTAAATTTTCTACACTGACCCGACCGGGAATCGAACCCGGGAACTCAGAGGATGGCGATTTTCTACATAAACCCAAGCGGGAACTGAATCCAGGTACTCAGAAGTGATAACCTTTAAACAGAGATTCAATATTCTTCGAATTATTAAGGTGATGTTTCATAGTTAACAAGTTTACCTGTAAGAACAGTTCTGGCCTTTCCCTCAACAAATTATCTTTTATCCAAACTAGCAGCTCTCTTAAAGACCAATCAGTTTTATTAATTTGTGGTAAGAATTTCTCTAGAGCAGGCAATTCTACTTCCCTTTTCTTAACCTTGTCGAAAAGGAGCTCGGCGCCGCCGCTAAATTGAAGTGTCACCGTGAGTCCACTCATTTTATTATTATTCACTTTGATATCAAATGTTTATAAAAATTAACTTTCCTTATTCATTCAAGTTTGGAGGTTATGTTGTTGACAGTATTATTTTGTTATTAAAAGCAAAGGAATATATTCCATACAGCTCAGCAGACAGCAGCATCAAAAATAATATTATGTACTTCTATTTTCAATAGGTATTGATATTCGGTACAAAAAGTATAGTAGGTATAATAAATCTGTGGTGCAAGAATTTATTTAAACCTTCTGAGAAGTATAATAAGGTACGTATAATAGGATAGTTGTCAACTTTTTTATCTTATGAATAAATTGCATTAATAACTGAGAAATAATGTAAAAGTAACATTATATCTGCGATCAAGTTTCGGGGATACGGCGCTATGGCTAAAAAGGCTCCCTATAAATTTAAGCAAAGTTGTTACGTTTTACGTAACTAACTTAATGCCACATGTTTGTTATCAAGTTTTCGTAATATATTTCCCCTACTTTTTTCAAGTTTTCAAAGCGTATTATTTTCCAAATAAGTGTAATAAAATTTATTTTGTTAAATATTTATAACTTGAAATGATTCATATTATCCGAACATATAACAAAAACCTGTATTTTCACTTGTAGTACATAAGCCTATTATAAATAAATATTTTTTTATTTAAATTAAAACCTAGAATGTAAGAATAAACAACTGATATTAGTATTTTTTTTATCTTTTTAAAAATGTGATAAGATTTTACATAAAATTCACTAAAGGTATTTTATGTGAAATAAATAATCATGTCCAATTAAGACCTAAAAATTTACTTACGCGTCTAGTGATGTGATATATTTCCAAAAATAACTTATTTTTTACTTATTTCATATCAGGAAATCAATTCGTCTTCATGTCTTCATTAATATTAAAAAATTGAGCATAGGTTAAAAAATTTAGATGTATAAATAAAACACAAAAAGAACTCAATTTTATATTTGCAATTTTAAACAATATTATAAATAAATCAACAATTAATACTTTACTACCGACACCCAGTTTCGTAGATGACTTAATTATACCTTATAAACGGTTGTTAAGCAAGTTTTGCAAGGGCCAATCATCAGATGGGTGAAAAAAAATTATTATCATCTGTAGTCGTTTAACAATCCGCACTATGATCAGGTGTTGGGTCCATGGCCCATTCTCCCTATTCGATTTGGGACGATTTCATCCACATTGAAGGCTTAAGCCTGGTAAGAACAATAATAGGCTGTTGATGATATTTTAGCATAGTATATTCTGGTTATCATTTTTATTTGCGTGCGATAAGTTAGCTATTGTAGTCTTTAGTTTCTCAGAACGTTGTCGCCTATCCCTGTAGGGCGCCGGTATCTTCAAATGTACCGCCCTCACGTGTGCTTTCATCGAGTTAGACTGCGAGAAACACCTGCCACATTGGGGGCAAGCGTAGGGCTTCGCCCCCGTGTGTACCTGTGTAAGAAAATCATGTATACATGAGTGCAGAGTCTAATATGAAAAATCCATCGCAATTAATTTCATTTTCACATTTCAAAGATATTTACGAACTTCACGCTACAACTATTTGCAATATGCACGCACTGAGGAAGTATTAAAAAAAACTACGAAAGCACTAAAAAAGCACCTCCACTAGATGGCGACTCTAGCAAAAGTTGATTTTTACAGGAAACAAAAGGACCAAAACAAGTCATTTCCGTTCCTTTTAACTAACATATTTAAAAACTGAAATTTGAGAAACTTAGATTTCAATACAAATACGAAAAAGTACAAATAGAATATGAGTTGTTTATTGAGTTTTGAAAACTAATTTACTTTTATACATGAAAGAAAACCGGAAGGTTTATCATAGAGAAATCAAGATAGTACCGTAGCGACATCTAGTTTGATTTCGGGAACTAATGTTTTTTTTTTAATACTTCCTCGATGTAATATTTTTTTAAAGATGTTGAATGGTCATTGGAATTTTCTAAGGCAAGTGTTAGATGCAAATATATTTGAAAGCTATTGAGACATGTCGTAAGAAAGAGTTGAATGCTAACTACAATCTCTCGACGGGTTAAGCTTAGTTTTTATTATGTTCCTTGATCATTCAAATCATTATACCTTTAAAAGTGACACAATTACATAAATCATTATCAACATCACTTTGTGATTACGATACATTTTAAAATTTTATTTATTTTGGTAATGTTACAGAGCGCAGTGGCTCGGTTCGTCTACGCATTACTAGATGGCGTTATGCGCCAATGAATCGCGCTAACACTGTTGAAACTACTTGTCATATAGGTATACATCGGGCCGGCGAGAAAGGGACAGTCACTGCGGAAGAAAGGGGACTGGTAGCTGTTCTAGAACTTTTTAGTATTGCCTCGAATACATCAGTAAATCCGAGGCAACCTAGAATGTTCTAGATCCTAACCTAGAGCATTCTGGATGTAGTATCGGCCCCAGAAAAAACGTGGTGGACTACCCGACCCGGGATTCTTTCAGTGAACTAGGGATGTCGAAAATGAATAAAAAATATCTATATATCGATATTTTCAAAATATCAATATTAGCATCGATATATCAAAGGGAAAATATCGATGTATCGATTAAATCGCAATAAACACGAAAGTATTTTACCAGTATTCTTTTTCATTAGACAAAAATATCAAGAATATGTCATAGACAATATAGTTTTTTTTCGTTCGATCCTATCTACTACAGTTTCGGGGTTCAGCGACTTCAGTGCCATAAGAATTAAAAAAATATATCGTTTTCGATACTGGATATTTTGTATCGATATATTTTGTATCGGATCAATATATATCGGTAAAAAATATCGATATATCGAATTCAAAATATCGATGTATCGATACATCGATACTTTCTCTGCAAACCTACAGTGAACAAGCGATGTAAAACCGAAAGCGTTCGGAAACGATAACTAATGTGGTGAACGGTCTAATAGTGTTGTGAAGTGTTATTAGTGATGTGTAATGTTGAAGTGTGAATTTTATAGTTGGATTATTTTTGTATTTTTATCGTGTCAAATAAAGTCAGTATGTAATCTTTTATAAGCGTTATTTTTTATCCCGAACCCTAAGTCGTAACAGAAATATACAGTGAGGTACTCGATGGTACTGTCTGCGATTAGGAAGTTGAGCAACTGCCGCAAGGGCTAGGATGGATGAGTGAATAAAAATTACTATCTCGGGCTTCTCCTTGCCTTGGGAAGGTATGTTAACCTGTTAAGCTGCAAATAATTGAAGCGTCGCTTATCAGCTCGGCACCTTCAGGTGGTGACGCTTAGAGAAAGATATAAGCGAAAGCAAACTTTAATGAGTATCTGATTTATTCATTGACTCACAGTTTTATGACGATGCAAGCCAGCGTGGCGTTTGAACGCCTTCGGGCAAAGTTTGCATTTGTAAGGAGTCTCACCGGTGTGGACACGTAGATGATCCTGTATCCGAAAGAGGATAATAAAAAAAAACAATCAGCTGCAGTGCTATTAATAAACAAGGTTTATCCTTTAAAATTTACGCTTAAATTGCAATTTCAGTATTAGTCCTAATTTATATTATACAGAGAATAAGCAAACCTACTACCTTCTAGGAGTAAATATATATTACTCCAGTATAACCTTGTACTAGGTTAACCTTTGCCACTAGGTTAACCTTTGTATTAATACTAGGTTAACCTTTGCCACTAGGTTAACCTTTGTACTAATACTAGGTTAACCTTTGCCAAGTCTCTGTTTAATAATATGAATTTTGACTAATACTAAGTGCAGTGTCAGCGTAAATTTACTTCAACGCTAAACCTTGTCATTAATAAACAGTGTTAAATTATTACTAGTATATTTTTTATTCACAATGCTTTATTGAAAAATATTATCAATGAAAAATGTTAAATAAAATCCACTCGGTCCCTGGCACCCTGAGATGGGATTCGAACCCATGACCTTGACCTAACGGGCGACAGTCAAAGTCAAAGTCAAAATAATCTTTATTCAAATAGACTTCTTAAAAGTACTTTTGAATCGTCCAACATTTTTTTCCCTACCGCTCATTCAGGACGTCTTTTGGCTGATAAGAACGAGCAAGAAACTCACCAGCTCTAATATGAGTAATGACGTTTACAAAAACCATGTCATCACCAGATCAATACATTATAAACAGAGATAGAGAAAAAACTATGGTCTTATAATGATAACATAATCATTCAATAATAATGGAAACAAGATAATGAGTTTAGAAGTACTTTAGAAGTAAGTAAAAGTTAATCACCTATCCAGTTGCTGGATCATCTCAAGTCCAAGCATTCTTATCTGTTATATAAACGTATAAACATTCTTATCTGTTATATATACCTTTTAATAAGTATTTTTTTTAATAGTAGATTTAAACTGCATGATATCTAATTGTTGTATTTTGACTTACTGCTCTAACGACTGATTTACCCAGGCCCAACAGGACTGACGAATCTTTCAAGCACTTACTTTTTCACTATTACAAAGCGTATTCACATCAATGTTCAGAAATAATAATGTAGTCTAAGCCTTGATACTATTAAAGTAGTGTAACGGGTTTTGTAAAAATGATCTATTTCAGAGATCAGCTCTTCACAATACGAATATATAAATAAAATTTTGAATTACTTTATTTTTCTAAGAAAAACTATTGTGAAGAGTAAATAAAAAAAAGAAATTAAATCCACCCATGTATAAATATTTGTAAAAACATTTCTTTCGTCTGTTTGGATACGTTCTGTAGAAGCGCAAAAGAAACAAGTGCTTGAAAAACTCATCAGTCCTGTTAGTTCCTGAGTAGCTCCATGGTTAGAGCAGTCGGATAGCGAAAGGTATCGAGTGTATTTTAAGTACTTTTCATTTAAATCATTTTTCGGTACAGCATTGTTTATTTGTGATTGATCAAATACAATAAGATAGATTATATTAAGTAGACCCATTACAAGGTTAGTATGAAGTCGGGACTGGTAGATGTCAAATGTGACTTTATAAAATTACCCAACTGTAATATTAATAATTTGAACTTGGCAACAAAACTATAAATCTATTCACAGAATACGACATCTTAGCGAATATTATGGCTATATTCCATTTTATTTACTACTTTGTCAAGACTTTAGTGGATAAATTAGGTATAAATGACAAATATAATTATATGCAATCGGGTCTTGTTCGTGCATTTTTTAAAACAATTAATTTACCTCGACGTTTCGGCTACGTTACAGCAGCCGTGGTCACGAGGAGACTGGAGAACTGGCGGGTGTCGTCTTCTGATTTTAGTTGAGGGTAATCCGGTAATAATGTTTTTAACTGATTTTCAGATGTACCCTCCACTTGATTTTATTAAACGTAAAGGTGGCGACACACTGCACTTACGGTATCCGAGAATATTGTTCGTGGTTGTTTGCGATCGGTTATAAAAATGTATAAGTGTCGCGATCGCAAACAACCACGAACAATATTCTCGGATACCGTAAGTGCAGTGTGTCGCCACCTTTACGTATAATAAAATCAAGTGGAGGGTACATCTGAAAATCAGTTAAAACATTATTACCGGATTACCCTCAACTAAAATCAGAAGACGACACCCGCCAGTTCTCCAGTCTCCTCGTGACCACGGCTGCTGTAACGTAGCCGAAACGTCGAGGTAAATTAATTGTTTTAAAAAATGCACGAACAAGACCCGATTGCATATAATTATAATGTATACAAATCGTGTGAGTTTAAAAATATTATAAATGACAAATGTCAAATCCATATTCATCATTCTTTATCATTCGTTCTTTCTTAGTACACGTCAAAGTAGTAAAATGAAAGGAAATAGCGCTAGAACTATGTTGGGTTAGCTATTGAAAAAAATCAAGTCTTATATCTATTGAAAAATCCAGAGATTATGTTGCAGTTTGAGATTTTTGCCTCAGACGTACTTAACAATATAAAAAAGTCTATTTTTTTTTCGTTTTATACAGTGCGAATATTCGGGGATCTCGTTCACTCGTCGCGCATCGCAAGATTAAGGAGATTATTTTAGGGATGAATAATTTTTATTAAAAAAAAATGCACTGCATTTTATTAAAAATTCTGAAATTTCCTGAGATTTTAAAAATCCGACCGTAAACATAAGACTCCAAATATCCTGAGACATGGTAACCTATTTTAGGGTTCAGTACCCAAAAGGTAAAACGTGAAACCTATTACTATGACTTCGTTATCCGTCTGTCTGTCTGTCACAAGGCTATATCTCATCAACGGTGAAAATTAAGACGGTTGTTGTTAAACAAAAAACCATATTAGGTCAGATTAAGTAAGCTCGATGTTAAGCAACTTTCGCAAGGGTTGGTCACGGGATGGGTGACCAAAAAATTACTCCGTGCTTCGGAAGACACGTTAAGCCGTCGGTCCCGGCTGCATTTGCAGTCGTTAATACCCTCCAATCCGCATTGAGCCAGCGTGGAGGGTCATGGCCCATCCTCCTTAACCATCCATAAGGAAGGCCTGAGCCCCTGCAGTGGGGACGTAAAAGGGCTGATGATGATGAAGTTAGTTCTGCTGATAGGCTCTTACCTTAAACCTGTGAAGAAGACTGAATTTCTTCGGACACTCGGTGCACTCGTACATCTCGCCATTGTGTATTCGCCGGTGTTTTAAATAATAGGCGTTATTCTGTACAAATTAATAATAATATTATATCACATACGTAATAAAACTATTTAAGAATGGTACACAGACTGAAGAATAGATACGATCGTTGTTGTCAAGCAACTTTCGCAAAGGTCGGTCACGGGATGGGTGACCGAAAAATTATTATGTCATTATATCACCAATCCGCTTTAGGCTGCGTGTTGAATAAAACCGAATAAGCCGTTTTTGCTAAAGTAAAACCTGTTCCCTGAGGAACTGAACGCAGAGCTGCATTCGGATTAGAAAACCGGTTTATTCACTTGACTCGTAAAGAAGCAATTACGCTTTTATTGCGTATATATTATGCTTAATTGACGACATTTATTATAACTGTATACGAATGTGAAAATGAATATACGCACTTAAGAAAAGCGCCGAAGTTCGTGAGATCATTGACATTTTAACCGGTTAATGAATAAAACAGTATTTCTAATTAACCGGCATAAAACCGGTTCAAAGTAAAGTAAAATACAGAGCAACCTAATTCGTGTGACAGGCCAAGTTTATTATTTACGCATTGTATAACTATAACTCAATAAAGAATTATTATTATTATAATTATAATGAATTATATATGAAGTTTTATATGTTGTAAGGTAGAACCGGTTCCCAAGCCATGTGACGCCATAAAAAGGATACTCACTATACATTTCTTCCCGCAAATTTCGCAGACGACGAGCGACTTGTTAATCTTCACACCCAAGTGGACACGTTTGTGATGGATCGCGAACGCGGGCTCGCTGGCGAACGTTTTGTTACACTACACAGATAATAGTGAATTGGCATCAGGAAGTTCCTATACTTGTTGATAGATGGCGCTGTTCATCATTGAATCGCAGCAAAACTGTCTAATTTTAAAAATTTATTCATACGCATAGCGAATTGTGTAACTTTTAAAGAACGAATGATTGTTTGATTGATTACCCAATAGCTTTTAAAGACATTTGTAATTATGAAGCTTAGACAATTCCGATTAACGTCCAATAAACGTGATCGTTCATTCAAGATCTTTCGGAAAAACATCGCGATCGCAATTGCTATCGCATGTCACATAGTTGTAGCGTGAAGTTCGCGACTATCATTCAAATGTCAAATTCAAAGTGATTGTTAAAATTACACAATCAGGCTACAACATGCTTACCCTTGAACACAATCACAATTGATCGACATTGCAATTGTGACGTTCTTGACTTGGTTCACTGGCGACAATAGGGATGATGACTGGGTAAAAAAATGCAATTCTATTTAGTCCATCAGTTAGATAATAGAAAAATATTAGATACGTATTTTTTTTATTTCAATTTAACAAGAAATAGCTTAGATAACAGGCATTAAAGTTGAGGAGTGGGGGCTCGCTACGTCACAGTTGAGTAGAAAACGTACCATACGCCGTAATTTTATGATTGCGAAAAAAAAAAAAAAAAAGTGCTTAATATTTTTAAACACTCTACCTGACGGACAAACAAACAAAAATTAATCATCATACCTATTGACTCAATATTGCGTGATTATAGAATGAAGTAATTGACATTGAGTTAATGTCGACTCTATCAGCCGGTTGCACAAACGTCCATTAAACTTGAGATTAATTTAAAGCCACATTACTCATACAAATTTGACGTTCATTAGAGCTTAAAGGCGTCATTAAACCTTAATGGACGTTTGTGCAACTGTCCATGTTTCAAGAGTGCGAACTAAGATTTGATGAAAATTAATATCACTTAATTGGATAAGGATTGAAATTGACATTGAGATTGCATTCAAGAGTAAGAATGCAGTGAGCCGATTGTGTAATTTAAAAATCTTTTACATGATCAATGGAACTAAGTAACTTTTAAAGTCAGCAATCGCATTTGAATTACAGTTTTTATTTTAATTACAAAAACCCAAACACAGCAACACAATTACTGCAAAGAGGCTTAGACGACATTACAGAATGGCTGCAGAAGTGGAGAATTAAAGCCAGTTCGTCAAAATCCGTTCATGTTACTTTCACAATGAACAACGGCGACTGCCCTCCAGTGAAATTAGAAAATATTACTCTCCCTCATCAAACCTGTATTAGATACCTGGGGATACATCTGGACAGGCGTCTTATTTGGAGAGAGCATATAAAGAAAAAGAGAGAAGAACTGAATATCCGCTATAAACATCTTCTATGGCTAATGGGGCGCAACAGTAAATTGTCAGTGGATAACAAATTACTTATCTACAAAGTTATTCTTAGACCACAATGGACCTATGGCATACAACTCTGGGGTACTGCCAGCAAATCTAACATCCAATGTCTTCAAAGGGCCCAAAATATGATCCTCCGAACCATTAGTGATGTACCATGGTATATAACTAATAACGAAATCCATGCAAATCTGGAAATAACAACAGTGAAGGAAGAAATAGACACAGCTACTCAATAAACACCCGAATAAACTAGCAAAACCGCTAATAACTCGAAGTTACAACAAGCGACTCAAAAGGAAGGATGTCCTATAGAGAGACATAAATAAGGAGGAGATGTTCTTACTGAAGAACACACTTCACAACCCACTTAACCTGCAACACATTTACTTATAGTGATTATCACTGATCATAAATTCAAACCCGAAAAAAAAAAAAATTACAGTTTAAATGATTAAACACAATAAAAACTTAGCTTATTACGTTTCTCAATAGTTTTCAAAGATACTAGTATATGCATCTAACGCTTTTGCTTAAAGGTCTATTTAAAGCAAACGAACAAAGAGTTAGAACAAGAAGTAGAGTGATCTTTCTTGTTTTATGTATTTACAATGAAGGAATAGCAACTATCAAGAATTCTCCTCCTACTCAACCAATATACAGTAGAACCCGTTTAAGACGATCACGCTTAATACGATTTCTCGTATAATACGCCATTTTACATCAGTCCCTGCAACTTGAGACATGTTTTCATACATTCTTTAACGCTTAATACGATCGTCATCCCCTTTAATACGACTTATTGAGAGTGTGAAAACCACACAAGAAGAGGCTCTAAGTACAACTCGGATTTTGACACACGCCCAGGCATTATCAGCAGTTAATGATTTAAGACGCTATTTAACTTCTTTGAATCAAAGCGAAGACGCACTACAAAAGTTGAATTACTTTGAAAATATTGTAATCGCTAATGCCTCATAATCTTTCTGTCAAACTAAAATAAGTGATTATTTTAAATAACGTGAAAGTTATACACGACATTTTATATAACGTACATAATTTTTAAATGTACAATTCAATATCTACATACCAAAAAATCCCTGGTTGGCTGTATCATTGATACAGCCATATTTTTTTATGCGTGGATACGTCTATGTATGAATGGATATATGACTAATTGATAAAAAATAAATAAATAAACAAATTGAAGACACTAAACACTAAATAAATAAATATTCGTTGCGTTCATTTGTTGAATGAAAAAGTATTCACTAGCGCCAACAGATGGCGTTAGTGCATATACTCCTGCTGACAGAATGCCCCTCCCCCTGCAGAGCAAGCATAGTTCACTTATACGCCAATAGATGGCGTTAGTGCATAAGCTCCTGCTCACAGAATGACCCCCCTGTAGAACGAAAACATAGACGTATCCACGTCAAAAAAACATAATAAATATTAATACACACGCATGTAGTAGGTCCGTTTTTTATTTCCCTGTATCCCGCATAATACGGTTTCCTGCTTAAGACACGTTTTTGGTTGAGTCCCTGTAAAATCGTTTTAAACGGATTTTACTGTATTAGATTTCTTCACAATGTTTAGATCAAATATTACGCCGATTCTCAATTTCTCGAGATTGAAATAAGTCTGCCTGCACTTGTTAAACTGTTTATTGTTAACTTTGAAGTTTTACAATTGAAAAGTATATTTATAAAAAAATGGTATTTATGCTGCGGCGACTCAAGGCGCAATGACCCTCTCTCCTCCGCTTCGTACATTACGTTACGTGACGTCACGGTCCGAACATCTTCCCCCGCGCTCGAAAGCTGTAGAGTTTCGAGGAACTGCTGCTGAAGTTGAATCAGGCAGAGGGCAAAGGTTGTGAATGGCTCGTCGCAATATGCCCTTTGACGTGCGTACATCTGCGACACGGGAAACTCCATCTGTTCCTGGGTATAATTTTACGACGCGAGCCATACGCCATTTCAATGGTGGTAAGTTTTGATCTTTGATGATGACCAATTCTCCATTTTGCAATCCTTTCTCATTTATTCGCCATTTTGTCCTTTGTTGAAGTTCACTTAAATATTCTTTCCTCCAGCGCTCCCAGAAATGTTGCCGCATGTTTTCAAGACATTGATAACGATTCAGCCTGTTAGGGTTGACATCCATAAGATTTTCTGAAGGCAGCGATGTGAGTGGTTTGCCGATCAGAAAGTGTGCAGGAGTCAAGGGATGGAGGTCGCAAGGGTCTGAAGAAAGAGGAGTCAGAGGACGGGAGTTAAGGATAGCTTCGATTTGTGCGAATAGTGTCGACAACTCTTCGAACGTTAAATGTTTATCCCCTAATATCCTAGTAGTATGATATTTAGCAGACTTAACGCCAGCCTCCCACAGACCGCCAAAATGAGGAGAACCAGCAGGTGAAAATTTAAACCGTATGCCCTCATCGGCCGCAAAACCCGTTATATTATCATTGCTTGCTTTAATAAACTTTGCGATCTCGTTACTGGCGCCGACAAAATTAGTGCCATTATCGCAATACAACAGAGATGGCTTACCTCTACGAGCAATAAATCGTCTTAAACATAGAATAAACACATCAGTGGTAAGATCACTAGCGACCTCCAAATGTATTGCTTTAGTTCCGAAACAAATAAATAGGCACATGTAGCATTTAGAAATTTTACAACCGCGACCTTTACGATCGGTGATATAAAATGGCCCAGCGAAATCAACACCGCTAATCTGGAAAGGAAGATTGGGACAAATCCGACTAGAAGGTAAGTTACCCATAATGGGACTGATACATTTTGCTTTTATAGTCCGGCATAATTTGCAGTTATTGACAGTAGCTCGAGCTAGAATTCGGCCTCTAATAGGCCAATACTTATTTCTAATGTCACTCAGTAAGGTCTGAGGACCACAATGCAATAGATTTATATGTTTGTATGCAAATAATAATTTTGTTAAATTATGTTTTGTTTCTAATAATATAGGATATTTCTTTTCGTAGGGTTCTGTGGACTTCTCAAGGCGACCACCTACGCACAAAAGACCAGATTTATCCAAAAATGGACTCAACGAAAGAATGCGAGACTTGACAGGTAAAGATTGATTACTTTTTATTAATTTTATTTCATTAGGAAAACATTCCTTTTGATGTTGTTTTAGTAGAAATTGTAACGACTTATTTAGTTCGTCAGTACTAAAATGACCGGTTCTTTTATTATTTTTATTGCGTAGGTTATGAATAAATCGCAATACATAACACGTGGATCTAAGTAATATAGAAAATTTAGAAAATCTTTCAAAGTTTACTAGTGGATACAAATCTAAAGACGAACTTAGTGCAGTTAGCGAGCACGGTTTGATCTCAGGCAAATCAGAACCCTTTGATTTTATTATCTGGGGCCAATCACATAGTTCGTTTTGCAAGAATGTGGGGCCTTCCCACCATAATTTAGATGAATGAATAGAAGCAGGATTTAAACCACGAGATGCTAAATCGGCTGGATTATCATTGCCAGGGACATGTCTCCAAGTATAAGAAGCAGTTAATTGCTGAATTTCGCTAATTCGATTTGAAACGAAAACTTTTAAATTACAGGGCTGAGAATCCAACCACCCTAAAACTACTGTTGAATCAGTCCAATAAAAAACAGTATCTATTTGACACCGAAGTGCTTTTACTACCTTCACACTTAACCTAGCAGAGAGCAAGGCACCGAGTAGTTCCAACCTAGGAATAGTTACAGTTTTGACCGGAGCAACTTTGGTTTTTGCACAAAGCAACCTGACCACAACGTTACCTGTACTATCCGTTGATTTGAGATATAACGCTGACGCATATGCTACTTGAGAAGCATCAGAAAATGCGTGCAACTCAATTTTGACTGCTTGATTTATTAGAGTCCATCTAGAAATTTCAAGGGTAGACAATAACTTTAAATTTTTAATAAAATTCAGCCACTGCCCTTTCAATTCAGTATCGACTGGGTCGTCCCATTCAAGCTTTGAAATCCATAGCTTTTGTAAAATAATTTTTGGAATAATGGTGCACGGGCTTAATAATCCTAATGGATCAAAAATCTTAGCTGAATTTGATAAAATAGCTCGTTTTGTTACATTTGAACTGAATTTAATGTCTACAGGAAACACAAATACATCTTTTAACGGATCCCATCTCAAACCTAAAATATTAGACTGACATGACATATCCAAATTTTTTAACTCAGGGGTACTAATCTCGTTTTCAAAAATATCGGGAACATTTGTTCGCCATTTTCGTAATGGTAAGCATGCAGAGTTCAAAGTAGCAGTAACAGACTGTTTTATATTTATTAAATCGTATTCGTTGTCTGCACCTGACAAAAAATCATCTACATAAAAATCTTCTTTGATTAGTTGTGATATGGTTCTGTTATGGCATTCCTTTGAGAGTTGTAATAAACATCGTGTACTCAAAAATGGAGCAGAAGCTGTGCCATAAGTAACTGTATTTAACTGAAACACTTTTATTGCCTGTGATGGTTCATCACGCCACAAAATAAGTTGTAAATTACGTTGATCAGAATCTACCAAAATTTGTCGATACATTTTCTCAACATCTGCGGTCACTACAAATTTATGTTGTCGATATCTTAAAATAATTGAAAATAAATCATCTTGCACAACTGGCCCGACATATTGCAAATCGTTATACGATAAACCAGATGTAGTTTTAGCTGATGCGTCAAAAACAACGCGAAGCTTGGTTGTCTGACTAGCCTCTTTTATTACCGCATGATGTGGGAGATAATTACCGAGGGTAGGCTTCGATATTTCGGTCATATGTCCTAAAGATTCGTATTCATGAATGAAATTTTTGTAATCGACTTTAAGCTGAGGTTTATTTTTTAGTTTTCGCTCTAATTGTATTAGTCTCTTTTCCGCTATGCTATAAGAATCACCTAAGCTTTCAACAGAGCCTTTAAGTGGTATCCGAACACAAAACCCACCGTCGTCATTTCGACGAGTAGTTTCACTAAATATTTTTTCACAATAGTTGTCAGAATCAAGTTCATTGGGACTAGGGATCTCTTCCAGTTCCCAAAACTTGGACAATTGTTGTCTAATTTGTTGTGAAAAATTGCAATGTATTTTCCTTGTATGAATGTAGTCAATTGAAGACATTGATCCAGCAATTATCCAACCGAATTCGGTATTTTGTAGTATAGGTTTATCCTGTCCTAGAGATAGTCTATCCGGACGAATGATATCCCAAAATATGTCAGCGCCCAGCAATAAATCTATTTCAGATGGCTTATAAAATTTAGGATCAGCAAGCTGAATATTCTCAGGGATATTCAAGTTCCGAACACACAACTCAACTTGAGGCAATTTATCCGCGATCCTAGGCAAAATAAAGCACGTAATAGAAGTTTGAAATGAGTTGTGCAATGAATAAAATTTAATAGTACAATGTTCTGTTACATTTAGAATACTGTTACCAATACCAGTTACATTATGATAATATTTTTTTTCTTTGCAGGTACCAATTTTCTGTTGTGCTCTAGCGGTTATAAAAGAAGATTGACTTCCGCTGTCCAACAAAGCCCGTAAAATGTGTATTTCATTATTGTGTATAACCTTGACCAACGCCGTAGACAAAAGGGCTTGATTGGTGGTTACAGCAGACATTGATATAGAATTAGACGGACTTGATGAACTCTGATCAGACTGAGCAACAGGAACAGGTAAGATAACTTCATTAGTAGACTCGGGAACTTGTACAGTTTGTAAGGAAGTCTGTTTGTGTAATAAAGTATTATGTTTTCTATGACAAATTCTACAACCACTCATTCTGCACTGAAAAGGCAAATGACCGTTACGCAAACAATTACTACACAACTTTAAAGCTGAAACTTTATAAATTCTTTGCTGAATTGGTAAGGATTTAAAATTACTGCACTCATATATTTTATGTTCTTGTTTACATATGGGACAACAACGTTTCACAGAAGCTTCAGAAGAAGAACAAATAAACGACTTCATGTTTGGCAAACTATGACGTTTTTCATTTTTTGATGATTTATTAGAATGTATTGTTTCTAATATTGCAGCGCGTTGACGTAAATAAGAATAAAAATCTTCTAATGTTGGAGAGTTATTATTACTCCTGAATTCCTCCCAATTCCTAGCAGTAGCACTGTCTAACTTCGCTGAGGCCATATAAATAATAATCGTGTCCCATTTATCAGTTGGTTCACCTAACAAATTTAATGCACTCAAATTTTTTGATAAATCGTCGATTAATCTGCGAATACCAACTTCAGATTCTTTTTGCAGTGGTTCAATAGAAAACAGGCACTTGAGGTGTTCATTTATTAAAAGACGCTTATTGTCATACCTTTCACAAAGCAGGTTCCAAGCAATCACATAATTATTAGCCGAAACTGCCACAGAACCAATTACCGAACTGGCCGAACCTTCCAAATAAGATTTTAAATAATGGAATTTATTTATATCTTCAATAGACTCGTTATGGTGGATTAAGGATAAATATGTATCCCTAAAAGAAAGCCACCTATTAGGGTCCCCATTAAACGAAGGAATCTTTAAAGGTGGCAATTTTAAATTACTATGACATTTGCCACTATTGTTGGATGAAGATTCCTCTTTAACCTTTTTTTCGAAAAAATCTAATAATGACTGAGCTTGAGCAATTAAATTATAAAACAAATTCTCAGTAATTTCGCGCTCATTCATTTGTTTAGTTATATCTTCGTCCAACATTTCAATTTGAGATTGAATATCCTCATAGATGCACGACACTTCACGCATCTTACTTAATCGGACACGTAATTCATTTATCCTTAATGCACTTGTATCATTGGAATCCAATAACGGCTTTAAATATTTTTCGAACAAAGTAAATCGAGCCTTTATGTTACCTCTTTGCTTAATAAGATCTTTTAAATCACTCATCTTGTCGGCACAAATAACGTAACACACTATAAATCACTACAGATTATAAAACTATGATCATTAATAAATTAGTAAATATGTTACGATTGAATCCTTTGCACGCTGTGTTATGTTGTTCACTAGATAACAAACCAGTTTTGCGGCCGACTTGGAGTGCACGGTAGGTATCTTATTGTTTGAATGCGCACTGTTCACAACAACTTTTTCTTTTGTTATTAAATCTGAAATATTCACTTAGTGAGAAAATTTTACCTTTTTATTAAGTATAGTTTAAGTTGACGTAAATAAATGTATGAAGAATAATTCTATCTTGATTTTTTTTATTTTTTATTTTGTTGGGGGTAAATAACGTCGCGAATGAGTTGAAGTATCTAATTCACACAAATCAAGGCAAAAGGGAGTTAGTATTATTGAAAAGGATATTTTACACACTTCCTTCGGAAATGATGCTGCAGCTGCTGGCTGGCGGGTTCCTGAAGGACGGGTCTCCTTTTGGCAAATTTGCAATGCCGCTCGTCACTGCGGCCGTGATATATGTAATCACGTCGGGGTCACCAAAATGATTACGCCGATTCTCAATTTCTCGAGATTGAAATAAGTCTGCCTGCACTTGTTAAACTGTTTATTGTTAACTTTGAAGTTTTACAATTGAAAAGTATATTTATAAAAAAATGGTATTTATGCTGCGGCGACTCAAGGCGCAATGACCCTCTCTCCTCCGCTTCGTACATTACGTTACGTGAGAATAACTTGTAATGTAGCAACAGTAGTGATTCAATAAACGATCTATCTATCTATCTAAAGAATTTATTGACTTTGTACGAGGATTGCTCAGGGCACCAGGCACTGGAATAAGTACACTCACCATAATGCAGTGTATTCGGTGTGCACTGGTCACATGCATCTGCAGTAACTCCTCACTTTCAAAACTGTCCCCGCACTGTGGACACGGACTCAACTCTAAACACACACCCGATGTCAATTCACAGTGATGTTTCAGCGCTGTATAATTCCTAAATATCTTGCTGCACACTTCACATTTCCTCGACAAACCTACACTCTTAGCGTGTCTAGCTAACACGTGCACTTTCAACAGTTTCTGATCGTTGAAACTCTCACCGCACCGAGCACAAGGAAATTCTGAGCACTCCACGTTATTATGCACAGCCAACGCTTCAGAATTGAGGAAAGCTTCACCGCACTTGGCACATATGAACTCTATAACGTTTGTATGCATCAGGCGTCTGTGTGTCCGCAATCCGGAATCGCTGATGAACGATTCGCCGCAGTATCTGCACCAGACTTCCTCGTTCGGATGCTGGATCCTCACGTGGGAGAGGAACGAGGTCTTCTTGATGAAGGTCTTTCCACATCGTTCGCATGTGAATCGAACGCCTTGGTGCCAATTGTGATGACCCTTGACTGTGTACTTCCGGGTGGTAGAAAAGTCGCACAGCTTACATTTGAACCTGAAACCGGAGAAAAAAATTTGATATCAGGCGTGTATCGTGAAGCTCCATTACAATATGCCTTTTCAATGATAATAGTATGTACGCTATAAAAAAAAATAATTATAAAAACTGTTCTGTCAATATAAAAAAATCTATTGAGTACAGTACTCCGTAGCCGAGTGGTTCGCACGCCGGTTTCAAGGTGTCGCCATCTCTGAGGTCCCGGGTTCGATTCCCGGTCGGGTCAATGTAGAAAATGAACTTTTCTATATTGTCTCGGGTCTGGGTGTTGTGTTACCTTCGTTGTCTCATATACTCCATAATACGGGGGCTTTAGCTACTCATCTTGGAATCTGAGCAATGTATGTGATGTTGTTAAAAAAAAAAAAAATCAGTGGCCTAAATATCTTAATTTAATATCTATTGCAATCACTTCGAATTTGACATTTAAAAGATATTCACATACTTCAACCTACAACCATTTAGAATAGAATAGTCGTTTATTGACACCGAGGTGAATTACATAAAAATTAAATATGCTAGCTATTGCGCTCGAAAGATTCCTTGAAAGATATTGCTAGTTTAATGTTAATGGTAATAATTATCTCACACTTGCCTGAGATCTCAGGCAGGCGTTAGACGTAAATCTTATATATATATAAAAATTTTGTGTCACGATGTATGTTGCCAATAAACTCCAAAACTACTTAACCGATTTCTATCAAATTCCACATGTACCCGTATTTTGGTCTAACTTACTGGATGGGATAGTTGTCATCTCAATTATTCGCTTATGTCGTGAATGTAAACGAATAAAATATTCTAATTAATTGTTTCTTAAGCAAGTGTTTATTTACTGTTTAGTTTTATGAAGTTCTCATAGATGGCGGTGTACGTTGATTCATAGATAAAATTCTTCAATATCGTTTGACATCTAGGTTGCAAATACACCCAACAGATGGCGCTGTGTTCTAGATGGCGTTAATTCTAAAGTAATCTGCGGTAACGTTTCTTTCAAAGAATTTTAGATTACGTTTTAGATTAAGTTTTGTGTAAACTTCAGAACTGTCTTTTTTTTTCCATCTTTATTTCAAATTGCATTGAATTAGATTAATATCTCTAAATTTTCAAAGGTAAAGTACTGAAACATATTGGACATTCGTTGGTATTTTGTTGTACTATCTTCGAACTTAAACATCAAGGTAATTTCATCATCAGCTCAAAAAACAACAGCGTTTTTGCAAAATATGATGCCCAAAGTAACTATATCACACGGACGAAGTCGCGGGCAAAAGCTAGTATTACTTTAAATTATTCAGTTTTAAATATGTCTCCTGATAATTCAAATCATTATCGGTTTCGAAAACAATTGCTACTTTAAAAGTTACATAATTCCTTAAATCGCTATAACAAAGGGATTGCTGTCGATATTGAAATCAGACAATTAGACCTCCATTCTATTAATTCCATCCGGAAACCCCAGCATTATCATCATCATCATCGATCGTTGTTGTTAAGCAACTTTCACAACGGTCGGTTACGGGATGGGTGACCAAAAAATCATTGTCTTCGCTCCTCCGTGCTACGGAAGGCACATTTCCGACAGCTTAAGAAGGGTCACGACCCATCCTCCTTGACCACCCATAAGGAAGGCCTGAGCCCCTTTACGAAACTACAGTTTTTAATGGTTTTCCTATTCTACTAAGTGACATACGATACAATTTCAGCTAAAATAGAACTGGAATCGCATTGTATGTCACTTTATAGAACAGGAACACCATTAAAAACTATAGTTCCGTTCGGTTTCGATCCGTTTTCGATTCGATATAAACAATTTAAAAAAAAAAAAAAAAAAAAAAAAAAAAAAAAAAAAAAAAAAAAAAAAAAACATTTATTTGGTAGAATTAACCCCCAGGCCTGCTGTTGATTGGACATACGTACCTGTATCTGTGCGTGAGCATATGACCAGTGAGCATCCTCCTGTGTTTAAACCTGGCGGTGCACAGATCGCACACGTGATCGCCAAGGTCGGGGTGGTGGGTCGCGTTGTAATGGTTCACGAGGGTCGCTTCTGAGAAGAAGCCTTTACTGCAACTCTCGCACCTGTGCGGGGTGACGAGAAATATTAAAAAAAATCGAAGGGAAACGCAACAGAAATACATCATTTGTGAAAATTTCAACTGTCCAACTATCACGGTTCACAAGATAATAAATAAATAAATAAATATAGAACAACATCACATACATTGCTCAGATTCCAAGATGAGTAGCTAAAGCCACCGTAAAGAACAATGGCGAACTCCCATATAGCTTTGGACCTGAATTTTTAAAGTCGCGTTCATCAATGAAATAAACGTGTACTTGAAGGTATAAGCTAAACTAACAAAATCCTAATCGTCTTTTTCCTTTAAAAGTTGGGATTAAAGAGATATGGCATAAAATACTTTGTGAGGTTATATATTGCATCTTTGCTTTTTCGTTGAATGGACGTTAAAATGAATAAAAATGGTAACCAGGTTACTCCGTTTAATAAACTAGATTAAAATAATTACATATCTAACAATATCCAGACATTTATAATAGAAGAAACATTTATAACATATGACTAAACTGTGTGGAGTAGATCCCTTTGCCTTTAATTAAATCATTACAACTGAAAGTGACAAACAAGGGCAATGTACACATTGAACTGTCATTGTTATAACCGAATCAATTGCCATTCGGAATCCAAAAGTAATGCAAATATCAACGTTAGTCGAAGAAACATGCTTAATTGTCAAGTTGAATATTAACATAAATATCAAACTCCACGAACGAACACACAAAAAACAAACCAAACCAAGCATCCGCTATCATTCCACCATCATCATCTTAGAACATTCATAGATGAAAACAAACATGTCAAAATAAAATCAACCAATCGATTATTTAGAACAAAATAATCGATACGTTAACCTTTCATCGGTTCAACTACAGAACTGGCAATAATCTTCTTAAATCGGTTGTGGTATCTTAGCTTTCAATTTTTTTATTTCTCAAGTATTCAATACGTAATTTGAACGAATAAAATAAATATTTATGAAAGTATTCAAAGACCGTATTTCATATAATATATTATATATAGATTTTATATTGAATATATATTTGACGTTCATTCGCTCAGTCGGTACACGTCATTACATCACATATCTCACTTATTATTAGCAGTAAATGGCGACAGATAATATTCTATAGAACATGTTTGAAAAACTCGCGATTAATTGAGAATCGCTTCTGACATCGTTGATGTATGTGATCGATTTTTCAAAAACCATCCAAAGTACAACCCTTTGATATATTGTGTGGTTTTCAATTAAAGAGAACGGAATGAATTCTATACAATCTTATTTTGACTTTATATTCGATTATTAAGCGTATTGATGGTACTTTAAAGGTAATAGAATTAATTGCAATGTACAGGAAACGATAATATCCATTAAAATAGATGACCCTTTTCAAGGGCAAAAGTCATGAAACACTTCCAAGATATAGTTTTATTATTAAAGTACTTCTGCGTAAACCAGAACGTTTCTTAAAAAGATTTTCGCGTTTTGTTTTTGCACTATCATCAGACGTTTTGTTATCTTGATAATTATTAGCAGCATTTAACATTTTAGTTTGGTTCCCCGACATTAAAATTCACCATTTTGTAGAAATAAAATCTATTAATCATATATTATTTATTTGTCATATTGCCATCCATGTACGGTTTTGTAAATTATGGGGTCCGTACGAGCCAATGTACCTACTTAGAAATAATTAATATTAATATAATAAATTACACGATAACCTACATACCTACAATTGCAACGCTGCACTTTTTTATTTTCGTTGGACAATTAATTTTAAAATAAATCAGTGTTTTTACAGCATTCAAACAGGGTTGGTTTTATTTAGCACTTCTTTTAGAAGTAAATTCATCCCTTAGCAAGCAAGCATACGAGTGTGGGGATCGAACCCCTACATATGGTCCTTCGAGCAATCCGTGCGGGATCATTTCGGTTTTCGTGTCTGTGAATCAAACTTTTTCTATCACGTAATCGTATCAGTGTCTAGTGCTATTGAACATAGTGCTACACGTGAGTTCTCGCAAGGAATTGAACAGCAACTTGATTACCAATAGTGTTCAGGTGATCTCGATCATCGTTGCCCTTACTCTCGCTTAGGTGAGAGTGGTAACACTCAGCAGCGTCGCAGGTGGAACCATCTACTCTTCGGTACAACTTATTGCAATCAAGTAAGATTGTTCCTTTTATTTATCATATAAGCAATCATGGAGTCTCTTATTCAACGCCAATCTGATATCCTCGATCAACTAAAGCAGATTAATAGCAATTTTAACAAGGACTCGGCAAGTCGCAAGACACCTGAGTATATTAAAAAACGTTTAGATACGTTAGATGTCCTCTGGGTAGAATTCAATTCGAATAATGAGCAATTACAGTCATATAGGGATAACAAGCAACCATATTTTGTAGAGAATATCTTCCAACAAACCAAAGACTTCTATATGATGTTGCGTCGTACAATATCATCTTATAACAAGGACGAAAGACAGTCATCAGATAGAACCCCTCAGCATGGAAGGGTGAATGAACTTTTGACTCAGCAACGTACAAACTTTCGAGCCTTGATTAGATTAGTTCAGAGTATCGAATCCAGTGATATTACGGAAAAGTGGGAATTGGAAGATGAACTTCGTAATCTGCAAACGAAGTGGAATATCATTGACAACATGCATTTACAGATCGATAATATTCTTCAGGGAAGTGATCTAAGTTACGATGAAGAATATAGCATACACGAAAAATCATACAAGCAAATAAAACGTCAGCTTAATCAAAAATTATCAGCATCAGCCCATGTTCAGCAAGCAACTCCGGTTTTCGATATACCAGTTTTTTCGGGCAAATATACACAGTGGCCGACTTTTTATGACTTATTTACTGAAGCTATACATAAAAGCACTATTTTATCAAACACTCAGAAAATGCAACACCTAAAGTGTAAGGTAAAAGGGGAGGCCGAGAGGATAATTCAGCATCTCAATGTGACATCTGACAACTATGTAACTGCATGGGAGCTACTCACCCATCGGTACAATAATCCACAGGTATTATTCACCATGCAAATTGAGACTTTCCTGAATCAGCCTAATATCCATAAACAAACATCGTACGAACTGAAAAAATTATATGATACGAGCACTGAATGCATACATGCAATACACAACTTAGGTATTAATACAAACACCTGGGATCCTCTGTTGGTACATCTCTTAGCAAAGAAACTAGATGCAGCTACATATAGTGACTACAAGGAATCACGCAAATCTCCTAGGGAGCTACCTACACTCGAGGAGTTTATGACATTTTTGGAGAGTAAATTCATTGCTTTGGAACCGATACATAGAGAAAAAAGGGAAAAAGAAATGCCTACATCATCTGTAAAATATAACCAAAATTATCAGCATTATTATAAACCTACTACTAACAACAAACCCTTCAAACCTTTTTCATCTTTCAAAGCAGCCCCGACATATACATCAAAATTTAGGTGCCCATTATGCACTTTAGATCATCAATTATTTAGGTGTAACAAGTTCATTAACCTTCCCTTGGAAACTAAAATGAGTACAATTGCGAAACATGGAGTATGTCAAAATTGCTTATTCAAACATAATGAAAAATGTCGCTCAACGAAACGTTGCAAAGAGTGCAACGGCGAGCATAATACATTATTGCATGACGCATGTAAGCAGCCAATGACCCCGTCTAATAATATACCTATGTCAATGACTTCATCTACGTCAACAATACCGTCCACATCAAAAGCACATAACGTAAATCATGTTGCTGCTGATAACGAAGAAGTTTTACTTACCACACTACTTCTGAAGGTAAAGGCAGCCGACGGTACTCATTTAAAACTGAGGGCACTGTTGGACCAGGGATCTCAGGTAACCCTGATTTCTGAAAATGCTGCTCAGATGTTAGGATTACAACGGCATCGTTATCATGCATCAGTATCTGGTATCGGTACTGGAGCCAAGCATAGCAAAGGGGTAGTAAATATTCATTGTCAATCTATTTATAGCGATTATGAATTCACAACAGATGCATTAGTAATAACACAGGTAATCAACAACTTACCAAACAGTACCTTCAGCAAGCAGACATGGCCTCATTTAAAACATATAAATTTAGGAGATCCAGAATACAACATATCAAAGCCAATAGATATACTTTTAGATGCAACAATTTACTCTGAAATAATAATGAATGGGTTAATAAAGGGACCAACGAACGCACCTATCGCACAGCAAACCAAGCTCGGTTGGATATTGTCTGGTAACGTTAAGAAATTCCACTGTCATGTAGTTCTTAACAACCTAGATGAGATCTCAAAATTCTGGGAGTTAGAGGACATTAGCAATTATTCAAACAACTTAACAAGAGAAGAACAGTATTGCGAAGATCTCTACCAAAACACAACTAGGCGACTAGACAATGGAAGATACGAAGTAGCACTTCCCATGAAACAAGGATTTAAAGAAAATTTGGGACAGTCCAAACAAAAAGCCATAGCACAATTTAAGCAGTTAGAGCAAAAAATGACAAGACAGCATGAATTTTCAAAAGAATATAAATTATTCTTAAACGAATACCTAGAATTAGGTCATATGACACCATCAACGTCAGCAAACATTGAACCCAGTTTCTATCTACCTCATCATGGTGTACTAAAACTGGACTCCAGCACAACCAAACTCCGCGTCGTCTTTAATGGATCATCCAAAACAACATCTGGTCACAGCCTTAACGACTTGATGGAGTGCGGACCAAACTTACAAGTAGACCTACAAGATCTCATATTAAGATGGAGGCAACATAAATACGTCATCACAGCCGACATCGAAAAAATGTTCCGGCAAATACTTATTCGAGCAGTTGATCAACCTCTACAGTCTATCGTATGGCGAAATAATCCACATGAGCCGTTACAAGAATACCAACTCACTACGGTGACATATGGAACAAAAGCAGCACCATTTTTAGCCATAA